AAAAAAAAAAAAAAAATCACCCACCACAGAGACAATATTATGGCATCATTCCATAACCACTAATTATTATTTTCTTTCCAGTTAAAGCTATTATAGACCAAGAAGTAAAGAATGGTATACCAACAAATAGAATCATTTTAGGAGGATTTTCTCAGGTAAGTGAGCTTAATAAAACGTACTTTCAAACTTGAATTTAGTGGTATATCATTTTCTGGTGTAAATCTGTGTACCTTCACAAAGCATTTACTAAAACTGGAGCAGTAAGAATCTGAAGCAGCTGGACATAGTAACCGATCATCTTTTATTGTCGGCTTGTTTAGTTAAGCTTTGAAAATGAAAGCTAGAAGCGGATTGCTATGCACAGCTCCTCCAGACTTTGTCTGCACCAGTCTTAGAAAACTCTCCATATTGTTCTTATGTCAGTCTTTTGCTCAGTGTCACTGCCTAAAGATGTATAGAGATTCTAGTAGTACAGTAGGGCAATTACCATCTTGACTGACTTGTAGCTTGAAATCAAGCAGACTAAGAAGTCACAAAATGACCTCCAGATGCCATCTGTAGGATTGAATTTGCAATAAAGTGTAATTGTTTTAGAATCCGAGTTGGGTAGTGAGTTCCATACTGACCGAATATGGCACCCGGCTGGATGGTGTTCATGGCTAAAGCAATGATTATTGACATGGCAGGAGGCATCCATTTTTACTAGTTGCAGTATTTGGCATTTGAAAACTGATATAACAGAAGTGTGAATGCTTTTCATATTGCTTTTTGCCGGAGCTAAACTGTATGTTTACATTGTACAGGCTACAGTACACTAATGAGCATGTTTGTAATGTGGGATTAGTAACATACTTTTTATCCTTCCAGGGAGGAGCCCTGTCACTGTACACTGCTCTGACAATGAGTCAGAAATTAGCTGGGGTTGTCGCTCTGAGCTGTTGGCTTCCATTAAGAACCTCTTTTCCCCAGGTAATGGAGCAGGTCATTTGGCTAATCATTTTATGCTGGCTGTATCTTTAAATATAAACAATCGATTATGGATTTGTAATTTATGTTTTGCTCGGAAATGATCATTGGACACAACGGAGAGAGAGAGGAAATATTTTGGGTGTATTAAATTGGATCTTTCTTCTTCTTTTTTTTTTCCAGAGCAATTTGTCTATTTAGTGCAATAGCTTTTCAAAATATAACAATTTTATTGAAATTGTTATATTGAATGACCCTATTAGTGCATTTATATTGTTGCCAAGCTTTGTTCACATCAAGCAGGATACAATCCCATAGAAGTCTATAAGTATGCAAAACATGCTTGAAGCAGGTCAGAAGGTGGTTAACTGCAGATCAAATGTACCTGTCCATGAATTTTGAATGATCTCAGAAGCGTCTCAAACTGATGCCATTGACACAAGCCCAAAGCCCAGTACCAAAAGCAAGTTATATTATTCAGAAGACTTATCACATTAGTTTAGAGATCAAATGCAGTAAGCATTAAACAATGGAAAACACAAGAGTTCAACACCCGTTAGGTAACGTAAATACTTTTAAATGAGTGTTTATATTAGGGATGCACCAAGATATCGGCGGCCAAAACATATCGGCCGAAATTGGCACTTTTGGCAAAATGCCGAAAGTGCCACTTTTCTGCCGATGTAGCGGTGCATCCGTTCTTTCTCTCCTCCCCGCTGGGCGATGCTCTGTGTCCCAGTGGGGAGGAGAGAAACTGTCACAGGCAGACAAGCGATGCGGTAGGAGAGTGGTGTGAACGGCTGGCGTCTCCTCCCCGCACCGATCAGCCTCCTGTGACAGATCAGGAGAGCAGGCGGTGCGGGGGAGGAGTCGGCTGTCAGATCTAGCTCTCCTCCCGCACCGCTTGCTCAGCCTCCTGTGACAGCTGTCAGGAAAGAAAGCCAGTACAAACACTCAGCGATCAGTGATCGCTGAGTGTCTGTAAATAATTCAGGACATAGCATAGTTACTATATCCTCAATTATGAATGAATGGGAAGTGATCTATATCCCTTCCTGTTCATTCATGATTGAGGTTATAGTAAACACTATCTCCACATGTTATAAATTAACAGGATTCCTGTTCATTTATAACAGGGGCTGCAGAAAGAGATTAAGGACTGTGTTCTCAATCTCTTCTATTTTAAAAGGGAAATATCAGCGGTCTGTTTAGACCCCTAATATTTTCCCAAAGCCCCTAAAAGTAAAAATGTTTAAAAGTTTATAAAAAATAAATTAAAATAAAATATTTGGGAAAATAATTTTTTCGGTTTCGGCCCAACTTTTTTTTTTTTCGTTTTTAAAATGTTCATGTTGGTGCACCTCCACCTCTAGTTTATATGCTTTACTTTTCTTTCACAGGCTGCTGCTAATAGTGCCAATAAAGATGTGTGTGTTCTCCAGTGCCATGGAGAAAGTGATCCACTAGTTCCTCTCATGTTCGGATCTCTCACATCAGAGAAGCTAAAATCTATAATAAATCCAGCAAATATTAATTTTAAGACCTACGCGGGTTTGGCACACAGCTCATGCAACCAGGTAAATCAAGGCTTTTTCATTATTTTCTATGGCTGTAAATGATCAAGAATGTTACCACACAGTTCTGATTAGTTTATATGATGCATTTTAGTGCTTTTTATGTACAGCAGTACATGGAGTATAATTTGTTGCCAACATTGACAATTTACTATGTGTAGGAACGAGCGGAAAAGTATTGTTCTCCCTTAACACAAAAGTACAATTAGAAAAATGTGTGTACAGCCATTGCTGCAGTCTTCTGAAAATGCTGTGTGCCGCTAATTGTATTACTTTGTCACTGACCTGGAACCAGTATGCAGCTCGGGAAAGTTTGCAAAAGCCAGATGTCCTTTCCTTGTTCTGGTTCAGTGACTCAAAGTATTAAAGCCAGAGGACTGGCATGGCAGCAAGGCAAGTAGCATTTGCGGAAGATGAGATCATCATTGGCATCCGCCATATTTCTTTCATGACAGGTGTGCTTTTAAAGCTCAATTGCAACTTCCTTTTTTTAAGCTTTGGATAAAGCGAGGTTGCATTAAAAGTTACATTTTTAATGTCTTTCAGTGCCGCCACCATCCCATACTCCCCTTCCCCAGCACCATGTGGCTCAGGGGGAATGAGTGTTACTTACTGAGCACAGTATCGATAAATTGAGCACAGTAGTTGTGCTTGTATGGGTAGGGGGAGTTGTTTGGACCACCGGAAGTGTACTGCAGCTCTCGCACAGAGATCGGTGGTCCTGATACTTGGGAAGGGAAGTAAGAGTGCTATTAAAGGGAGACAAAAAAGACACTAATAAAATGTGACTTTATATGCAACCTTACTTTATCTAAAGATTATAAAAGGAAGTAACAATTGGGCTTCAACCCCTTCGTGACTGACGACGTACAGTGTACGTCGCCAGCATCGGGGCTGTTTAAACAGACTCCCGGCGACTTTTGCCGCCGGGGCTCTGTTTAAACTTGTAGAGCCGACTGTCGGCTTTACAACAGAAGCGATCCTGGCGACTTACCTGTCGCCAGATCGCTTCTGCGTCCCGAAGAAGGGGCCGCCGCCGGACACCCCCGCCGTGCTTCCCGGGCTCCGTTGCCCCTCCACCTTGTTACATATACCCATTCACATAGCATACATTTAAAAAAAAAAAGCTTCTTGCAATTGAAATTGCTTTTACTTGGGTTAGGGTTTCTCGGCTCCTTAAGGGTTAAGATTTCTAATTAGCTTCTCCTTTGTTTTGTTAGGAGGGGTTTGCATTGTATGTTAATGAAGCACAATCAACAAATATA